CTACATGACTTACATTCAATAAGACCTTCTTTATATTACCTTCGTAGTAGCATATGCGACACTTTGCTTATGCGCAAGGATATTTGTGCGGTAAAACAAAATTTCCGACCGAAACGTTTTTGTTATTGCTTTTTATGCTAAAAAAACTTCACATGATAGCTAAACATAATTTTTAAATTATAAATCTCAAAGGTTTCTGCAAATAAATTCGATTACTTAAACTTGGCTTCACTTTCATTTGATCAGTTTCGCATAAAGTTTTCCAATTCTGGAATAGATCATTGTTCCAATTTTTTCTACTTATTCTGGGATTCATCCATAGTACAATGCATATTTATAAAAATTTTGCTTGTGTTGTACCTTATAACATAGGAAAATTCTTCGTTATAGACTAACTCATGATTTAGCCAAACTTGACGCCTATTTCGCTCCATAATTTTAACTAAGAGGGCAGTTTACCAAACAAAAGCTTTTCTAATTATTAAATCCATTGATTTGAGCAAAATAAGCAGGCAAAATATATGCTAAACTACCAAGTTAAACTTCATCATGAAAGTTTCTTGCAGCACTCGCAATACTGTATTGCCAGTAAAGACAAGGGCGATTGAAATAGCAATTTCTGACTTTCTAACTGTGCACCACCCGTGGCTCAAACTCGCGACCTTTTGATCAGCAGTCTAAGGATCCAACCAACAGCACGAATAAGACCGTGGTACGAGTAATTTCTGTTAGTGAACGAAGAAAGTTTATCAACGAGTGTCAATATCTCCCGATCTAAACCGACAAGACAACGCACTCATGGCTCAATGATTAGAGTGTTAGACTTCTGATCGCGAACTTGAGCCCCCGGTGGTTCATCACTTGGGGTTAGGCATGGCCAGCTGACGACGGCTAATAGGCCAGAAATGGCCAATCCAGTCTCCCCTGCCTTTGCCCGCAATACTATCTGCCTAAGACCACTAATCGCTACGACTGCTGTCAGGGCCCGAGAAATGAGACTCAAGACAGAGTGGAACGGGTGAGTTCCGCTAGCGATCGGTGAAGGTTCGTCAACGAGGTTTAAGACAGTAATACTTTTGGGCATATACTGCTCATTCCAACCGGATATCATATGTGTGGGACACAGTACATCGGGTTTGGTGACAAGAAAGCAAAAAATCGAAGCCATTTAAGCATTATAAGAGAACTATGTATCCCAATCTTTCCTCTTACCCTATTTGCACCATTTTAGCCAGGGAGTTGCCAACATGGCTGTCGAGGTCACCGTTATGGTATTTGGAGGAACGTCTTACAGCCTCGACCTGTCGGATGGCGGTGACTTCAAGAGGCATGTCCCAGCGCGACCCCTACAGCCTCTTCCCAACCCACAAGTCTTCAAACACACCTACACCCAAGCCGGTGCCTACTCAATATGTGTGACGGTTCGAAATCTGGGCAAGCGCAACGTCGAGTGTCACGATTACATCGTAGCAGCACCGATGGGTGCGTACGACCTGCGTCTCGAGACTAGCCGACTGCCCATTGGGCAGCCACTGCACCTGTGGTTGGA